CAGGCTACTCCGTCCTTTCTAAGTCACAGAACAGAGCATTTGCTACTGTCTGAAATAAGAATAAAGAATCTACAGTAAAGTCTGCCAAATACAATACACAGGCTCCACAGTAACATTTCAATGCAGCAAAAGCAGCCTATTCATAGTGAGATCCAAATAAGCTTTTTCTCCCAATACTTAATATGTGCAAATTTAATGATAGAATTGATCTTTGTCAGAATGGAAAAGAAATTGCGCAAATTCTTCAAAACCTTTTATATCTGCTCTCTTTAAATTACACTGAAGGTGTTGTATGGGATTCAAGTCAGCGATATACTTGGCCAGGTCATAGTTTCACTTTTTTCTTCTGTAGCTTTGGCTTTGGCTCATTATAATGTCTCACTATTCCCCTTCTTCCAGGCATCTGCTACTGGGAGTCGTCTCATCACCCAGTATTCGGTATATCCACAGGCAACAGTTATGAATGTCATTTGCCCAGAAGTTTCTGCTCTCAAGCCTCATTACACACCCGTTTCCCATTTTCATTGGTACTGTGCTCTTGACTATTCCCTTTCACTATGGTCAGGTTCATGCTGAACATGCTGAGCGCCCTCCGAGCTGGGCCCACTTCCATGAGTAAGTGATTGTATGAGACATAAGTCATATATGAAACAAAAACATTAACCACTGGAAGAAATGGGGATTTCTCTTTCTCTGATTTCTCATTTGGGTCATAAGACCCAAGAATGTGCTCCTGATATTCACCAGGCTTCTCTTCATGTTATTTTGCAAAGTTTAACCTTCAGGTTTTGTGGAGCAACCACAGGTTTTTTTTTCTTGGACATTGTCCAAATCATTGATATATTGCAATGTCCTTCAGACAATCTGAGCTCTCAGACAAACTCTGATTTCCAATGATAACCCCTGTGCCAAGTCTGCAGCACTCGTCCATCTGCAAGATTGTGCATGTAGAGAACTGCCAGTGTTGTAATTTTAAAACTGCTGCGACTCTGATTAGTGATACTGCAGCTTTTTCCTATCCTTTTCCAGTTTTTTTTAAATTCCTGTGGAGACCTTTTTCCACATGAAACCTTATTGCAGACCTCCAGCATCAAGTTTCTGTTTCACGGTCTTCATTTTCAGTAGATTCATTAGTTTTTCTAAAGCATTGGTTTGATTGTTCAGAAAACAAACCCTGCGTGTTCTATGATACCGTGGTTGTGTCACTTTACATAGGTATTTGCCTTCAGAGGGCCTACAGAGAGGGGTTTTCAGCCTACACAAACGTGCTTCTATGCAGTCGTCCAATAAATACATCAGCATGTAGCTCAACGTGGATGACCCTGTGCATTGGCTGAATGCTCATTGCTTGACAAGTGGGCCGGAACAGAAAGGCAGTGACAGCAGAAGAGCATGAAAAGCACAGACTGTTGCTGCAATGGTTACTTTTCATTGTTTTTCACACTTGGCTTCACTTCAGTTCTTCTGTGGTTGTCTGAAGGACCAATGACAACACAAGCAAATGTAGCCCACAGAATGGTTGTACCATATACTTTGGACGCTGTTTCTATCTGGCAACAGATGCTCTCTGCAGTCCACTATAGTCTGCCAACTGCCAATGGAGAACCACACTCAGTTCAGTACTGTGCTTGTCAGATATTAGAAATCATACAACTGTTGAAAGGTTATACAAACTTAAAACATTTGTCATTAGAATAGTTTTGGTGATACACTCTTAAGTAGGTTAGGTTAGTCTGTTATATCTTCAGATGTCTTAAAACATATTTTCTTCCTGATCAAACAGTAGCAAAACCAATTTTCCATAATTTATTGTTTAAATGCAGGTGATTTATTAACAGCCATTTGTCATTAGCTCTTAGTTCTAAACTTTCCACTGACTTATTTTAACTTTCATGTTCTTGGCTAAATTAAAAGCATGCCACTGCAAGACGAGTGATGGAAGTCGCCACTTGTCTTGTCACCGCTTAAGCTAGCAAAGAAGATGGAGCAACTACATCAGGGCAAAGTCTGGAGGTCCTGGTCACATCAGTCCCCGGGTGCTGAAGTTGCCCAGCTGTCTGGCATCCTGCAGCAGACTCAGGGTGAAGAGATGCTGCAGGATGCCAGACAGCTGGGCAGCACAGGTGCTGGTGCTACGGAAGACATCATGTTTAGTGCCGTTACCAAAGAAAGCCACCCCACCAGTTACCTTGGTGTCAAAGGTCATGAAGGTGCTGGAGAGACTGGTTCTTGCCAGGCTTAGCTTACAAGTGAAACATCCTCTCGACCTGCTTCAGTTTGCTTACCAGCATCTTGTAGGGATGGACGGTAATGTTATTTACCCTTTGCAGCATACTTACTTTCACCACTTGTGGTACTGGTGCCATTGTGAGAATTACGTTTTGTTTTTGTTTTTTTCCAGTGTCTTTAATACCACCCAATTTGAATGTGTGCTTTCTGTCTGTAGTCTTCTTTTCGGCTTCGGTCAATCAGTGTAGGAACGAATGCATTGCACGTGCATCACACAAACAATGCCCCATAGGACTGCTCCTACCTTTGAAGCACACAATGATCGCCACTGTGATTATTTAGAAACGATTATGTAGTGTTTTAGTTTCATGTAAACTTATTGACATTTGAACTTGACTTATTGGGCTCTGCTTTGAACATAAGCACAGGTTTTTGACAGTTCCAGTGAAATATACAGTGGCCCTGAGAGGCCAAACGGACTGCAACTTAAGAAAACACCAGCAATAAGCAAAATGCTGCAAAAGCACACTAAACACAACACAACAACGGAAATAGGAATCCACCAGCTCGATAGCTACCCAGGAGCTCGAGGGTCACTGGAGCCGCCGAGAACGGCACAACTCCCGGCACATCATTTTCAGATCACCGCGGTCTTTCGCTACTCAGGTTAAACGTAATATATAAGTCACTTAGATAACCTAAAAATGTTATTGTTTGGCTTTTTTCAGTGTTTTATTTGTTCGTGAGTAAATCGGTTTGGCTGAGATTAAAGTTATTAGATTATTAGATTAAATAGGAACCCCACCAAGACAGCGGTGACGCAAATCTGAAGGCTAGACTGTCCAATTTCACAGCCGTTTACTTCCGGCCTACCCGACCTTCTGAGGACCCCGCATAGACCGCGAAGGCCAGGTCCTCAGGAGGATGCAGCCCATGAATTTGGACACGACCTAGGTGTGTTTTATCATGATTCATATAATACTGATGATGGATTTTTAGGCTAATAGTTAGGCTAACACACTTACCTCTCATCTTTTCTTTCCTCACAAAACCGATAGATCCTCCACTTCTTTTAAGTGTCTCCCAGTGCAATTCTTAGCATATTTTGGTTCCTGCAACTGGTCCGTTGGGTTATTGTCTCCCCAGAAACACTTCCCTTGTGCTTTTAGGAATCGTTTTTTTCCTATTTCCGTTGTGTTTTGTGTGCTTTGGCAGAGTTTTTCTTATTCCTGCTGTTTTCTTAAGTTGCAGTCTGTTTGGCCTCTCAGAGGAACCGTAGAAATACACCATAAGAAGTTCAGCAAAATGCTCCACATTAATGCACTTTACACTAATACTTTTGGCAATCTAATCATGCAGTCACAATTAATGTAACAGGTGCAGGACCTCGCCAAGGAGCCGCCTCTCCCCATCCTTCTAGAAATGTGTGTGTGCATGTTTAATCAGATGGAAAAGCCTGTTGTTCTTTGAAGGATCAAGGGGTTATCTGCAGCACTTACCATAATGCTGCAGCAACATTTCAGTGGGCCAAGTGAAAAGTTTGAATTCATGCTGCTGGTGTACAGTTAAGAGTCTATGATCAACAGTCTGCATCACCACCTTAGTTTTTGGTAGTTTTTGTAGGAATGATACCATCATCAGATGGTAATATATGTACTAAAACTGCACCATACTTGGACATAAATAGGTGTTTAATTGTGAAAATGTGAAAATGTAAAGCTGATAACAGAGGCCTGTGGAGAAAGGATGGTGCAACTAAAACCATCATTTGTTCTTTCATTAAAGTGTTTCGAGCTGCGGCTAGATCATTTTTAAAAAGCCTGTGATCAATTGCTGCCTAATGCAATTTTGTGGCTATAATAATTTCTAATTTTTAATATCGATCGGGGATCAGCTTTGCATTTTAAAACTCTCCTTTGTAGCAAGCAATTGTTTCCCTTCTGCTTCCTTTCTGTTATATTCCTTTGAAAAACACATAAAAATGTGAGATTCTATATCACTAATAACAGGCTAAGATGTTGCCTTTGTAATGTTGATTTAGCAACTTTTTCATGTTCATTGTCATCTCTTATTGAGTTTAAACATAGGAGAGTCAAAACTGATATGGTAGTCTGAGAATTTATTATATGGTATTGCATATTTGGCTAATCTATTTCTTCCTTTAATGGTCCTTTCGTTACTGTCTGCAAAGGTTGGAGAATGGAACTGTCTCACTTGTCTGCCCAGTTATATTTTTACATCATGACAGATGGGGTGGATAAGTAGGTGGTGGGTGTGGTGTCTCCCCATCGGTAAGAGGGGATTATGTGCTGGGAACTTTGGAGGCAAACACAAGTAGAATAAATATATAGAGAGCATGAAGTGCCATTCTGTATGGCCAACATCAACCTACATCTGACTGCCATCCAGTGGGTGTAAAACCTCCAATGGAGATTAAAAGTATTTTTCTAATAGCAGCTGGGGGAGGAAACACAGTTATCATGTATTGAGTGTGTTTGGGATCTTGCTAGATGAAAAAATAGGACTATTCACTGCACATGAATGTAACCAGCACTGTTGTGAAGCAAACATCTCTTTATGGGGGTAAATATGCTTCACCTGTCTGGTGTTACATTATATTGTAAGTTTATATCCCGTTTTTCATACATAATAAGAATTACCATCCAAACAGTCGCTAAAATTAAATGATCAGGATAGCAAACAAACAGAGATGGATTTTTGTTTCTTTTTATTTCCTTTTTTTCCTCTCTCATAACAGTTTTGAGTTTGAGTTAAGTTTTCTTGTTCTTTTCGACGAGGTAGCTTCTGTAGTAGAAGTTACTGAAGAGAATGATGAGGCTGAGAGAATATGCCAAAACAGTGATGTTCATAGAGTCAGGGAAGTCACAGTCAGCAAACAGATTGTAGCTGGTATGGATAGTCACTATGAAAAACTGGAGCTGTAAAGAGAAACAATAGCATGATGGTAGACTTTCAGGGCACTGAGTACAAGAAAATTACAAGAGGATGGTCACGTAAGAGATGAAAGCAGTAGGGGATAACAGTTAGGCAATTTTCATACTTGCTATATGAGCTATAAAGGCTTGAACACTTTCAGCAAGTTCTCTGTATATTGGGTGTAGAGTGGTTGGAGAAACATCCACAGTCTTGTATATAGAAAATGGACAAAGCCATGTTGATGTTACCAAGTTATTAGTGAATAATGAATAATGAATTAGTGAATGGTTGTCTTGAAAGGGCTTTTTTACCTGGCTGTTTTCAAACGACAAGAAAGGAGTGAAACAGAGGGGCACTACATGCTTATAGGGTAGTGACATGCCAGACACACGGGCAAGCTTACTCTCTCACTGGACCATAAGTTACAATTTTATATATAATATTATATTTTATATAAAAGAAATTGAGTTAAAATTGAGTTGTCTTCAGTGTGACTGGAAATCAGTGGTTAAGACCATAAACTGTCCCAGAGAAGAGTTATTTTCCCATTGACCTTTACAGAAACCAGAGAAGTTTGCCCTCTGCTGGCCATTAAAAAGAATGCTTACTTAAGCCCATCTTTTACATACAGTCTATGGAAATGACTTCAAAGTTATTCTTTAGTTACTTGTAAAAAGGAATGAAATTATATGTAATATTGATGATGTCATTATTAATCTTACACCCAGTGACCCTCACATGGAAACAAAAATAGTAAAGATTAGTTATCTTGCAGTATGTGGTGATTTTTTGGTCGTTTCTCAGTAACATATGTTGATATTTCTTGTGTAACCATATACATATCATTTAGATACTATGCAATATGACTGGTTTTTTCTTTTTCTTTTATAAAAACAGAGTAGGGTTGTCAGCAGAGAGTAACACGGGCAAAAGTACTTATTAAAAAAAAGAAAATAAGTCACCATGTGAAGGTGTCCATTGGATTCATAAAGCTAGTCACGAGTGAACTACCTCAGCTTCAGTTAAGTAAATTGTAAAGACAAGTGTTAATGATGGCTCGGGGGTCGTTTTGAAGGTCAGTGCAATTATTGTCACAGAATGGCAGGCAGGCACTATACTGACCTATATAAGCTGAAGCCATAAGGGAAAGAAAAAAATACAGGATGCATTGTCTTTTCATTAGACTATAAGTAGAAAACAGATGGTCCAGTAGTTAGCTGAGGAGCATCAGTGCTGCTAATCTGTCTCGTTTTGCCAGCAGTCAGTCAGAACAATGACAAACCAATCAGGAAGCCTACACGTTAAGCTCATCAAAACCAAATTATTAAGCCTCTGAGATCTAAGTCGTCGTTGGTGATGACTAAGCCTATCAGAATAAGGACTTTTTGGTCTTATTTAAGTGTGAGAGAACAAAGAAAAATATTTCTAACTGACACACATCCACCACTTTTTATACTTTTTCCCCAAAAAGCCAGTTCTGGCTTTTTCAGGATTATCACCTTTGATGGCTTAGTAGTTGTTGTTATTGTACAAGCTCCTAAAGTACACATAGCAGAATCAGGAAGGTGACTGCCTTTATGTTACAGATAGAAATACAGACTGAGGGCTTAATGAACCATAATGAACTATGCAAAAATATAAAAGGGAGCTAAAAATTAAGAGGAGATCGTTTTTAAGTTAGAGGATGATCCCTGTAAAATGAATGTGAATGAGATGCATACTGACCAGCTGTAGGGTGGTGAGGTAACGTTTCCACCACAAGTATTTGGTCATGCTTGGTCCCACAGCTGCCAGGCCGTAATACATGTACATTACTATATGGACGAGGGAGTTAATCAGACCTATTAGGAAAGCTGTAGACAGACACTCTGAATGAGAACCATATATTATCTTCTTGAATATTTCTGTTTGCTGCTCAAAGACTCTTTAATCACAATATTTTGTAAAACTGGACTAGTGGGTTGTACTCACACTGTCCACCAGCCACATATTTAACCCCAGCCCACCAGTTGAAGATCATTGTGGCGTGATGGTAGACATGGAGGAAGGTCAGTTGACTGTTCTTCTTCCTTAGGATAAAAAATATCTGAATCACAGAATCACACAAAGACAGTTAGGCAGAAGCGTCTTGCAGCCATGAAAACACATGCTCGTGTAAGCTTGCTTGAAACTCACAGTGTCACAGAGCTCTATAACTTTGGAGAAGTAGAACCACCAGCACACTCTGGCCATCTGTCCAAAATTATAAAAAGCACATTATTAACCTTCGTGCACTGCAGTTCAAACAATTAATATATATATATATATATATATACACAGTTCTGTAAAAAATATTGAGCCATGAGCATTCTTTACAGTTTTCTGTGAAAATTGGAATTGCAGAGATTTACTGAAATATGCAAACATAAATGGAAACAATTCAACTCTCTTAGGATACTTTCTTATAATGTTTCCTATTTCTCAAAGACAGGAACTGTCAAATACTGTTTATCTGATGTAGACAGCTTTTTAGGCCTGCCACCTCTTCTATTATGACATGATGTCAGTAACAAAGGATCCAATTTAAAATTGGCTCTTTGCTAAATTGTCTATTATGTGTAGACAAAACATTGTCTCATCAGTTGGCGTTAAGTGGGTTAAAAAAACAAAAAAACTTTCTTTTGAAAATGGTCAGGTACAAGGACTGGACTGAAAATAAGTGAAAAAGCAGCCAATGTCCAAAGATAAACTTTAGAAAGCCTGGAGAGCTATTGCTCTGCAAAACAGTCTGGCTGCTCAGAAACCAAATCCAAAGAAATGGCTCGACAGTTTTTTCACAGTAGTGTACATGTCAAAATTAATTTAGTGAAAAACATTTACCCTCATGGCCAATGGGCTGTCACTGTAGTCCACTGGCTGGCACAGCAGACTGTATCCTGCCAACCAGGAAGAGGCTGTAAACTGTAAAGAGAAAAGATGCTCTTATCTCTGCTTGTTTTTTCTTTCATTTAGCAAAATGACGTTTCATTAAATAGTTAAAAATCCTTTATCAAATATTCCGTGAAGGAATAGGACACATGAACCATGCGGGACCATTTGATCTTTAAATCATACTGTACACGGTGAAAATGTAGCCACTGATGCGCAGCACAGACTCCCAAACAGAGCCGATGGTAAAATGTCTGTTTACACTCCGACAGATGTGGATTGCTTTAGGCGGTGTTTCTGTCCAAAATTACCTATATTAAACTATTTTATAGCTCACATTAGGATTTTACAGATTCACAAACTTTGACAGCCATTTGGATGGTTTATTTTTTTTATGATCTATTTGCTCTGTGTGTTTTATATGCCAATAACTGTTTTAAGAGAGTGGACATGCAAGTACCAGAATCCACCAGCTACAAACTGCTACAAACTGAAACCACTGGGAAGTGAAGAGAGTTACAGTGATTATCTCAGAAGAGTGGAAGGTTCTGTTGGCATTTATGTATAACTGGACCCAGAAGAGAGATACAGCAGGGATTGAAGGACACCCCCAGTGGTTCTGTGTCCATCCCCCAAAACATCAGAGCTCTTTTGGTCCCATGACTAACATCTACACAACATTAAGCAGGTGGTTTTAGTGTCATTGGAAGTTGTTGTATTATCCTATACTGACTTCCTTTTAGCTGCTCTGAACAACGGGGAGCTGCTCTGCTCCCGCTCCCCGTTGTCTTTTCCGATGGTTCCTTCAAGCAGTATGGTATTTACCTCATAGAACATGTAGGCAGACAGGCAGACCATGGCAAAGTTGTAAACTATCAAGACAGGTCTGAGGTTGACTGGCTGCCTCCTTGCCATTAGCTTTGGCCCCACCCATATAATGATCAAGTAACACAGGAAGACACAGCTAATTGGCACAGGAGAATAGACCAGAAGCCAGTTGTCTGTCCTTTTGTCTAAATGACAAGAAGGTGAGAGAAAAGCAGAAAGACCTTTAGAAAAAAATAAACTGCTAATCTCAGAAAAAAAATGGGTAAATTAATTTACATGCCTCCTTTTTCCAAAATCCCATTGTAAAATAATTGGACTTTCTGCCACACAGTGAGCGCTTGAAAATCCTGAAACAGAAAAAAACGAGAAAAAAGAGAGACTTTGATCTGCAAAGCTGAAGCAAATACAAACGTTTTAAAATGAAATAATATAAGTCTCTCACAACAAAACAGAAAACATCAAACACCTTTTTTGGTATCACACTTGCTTATATGGCATTTATGCTGTTCTACATTATTGATTTTTCTAATATTGTGTTCATTCTGCAAAGGTAAGGCCGAACATGATTTGTCACTGCATTAAAGTTTCATTTTGTTGTATTGGGCTGGACGAGGTCGGGTTTCAAAACCCTCATCATAAGATGATGACTACACATAAAGTTATTTGAAGGTTTTTTGGTACAAACCATAAAATGTACTCATATAAACGTTTTTTATATCAGTACAACTAACTGTTCCCAGCACTTTGCACGCTCATAAATAGTACTCTTCTCAAAAAGTACTTTGCAACAAACAACACCTCGCTGCAAAATTGATTAAAAACTACCAGGAGATAATCTGGATTACAATTTAAGGATTATGTGCACTAATCCAAACGTATCTCTTTTGATAATGGATGATAACTAATAATCCTCTTGATGAGTGGCTGACTGATGTGGACGACAGGGTGACGCGTGTCCTGGTGTGATTAAAGTATTACAGTGCTGCCATCTAGTGTCTGAAGATAAAAGTTGTGTGCACAGCTGGTGTGTTTCTCTTTACTTCACCATCAGACTCATCTTGTGGTGTTGCCCCATGTTTGCCTCAGGCTTGGGTGGAACTTAGAACAAGTAGAACTTAGTGTTTTTACAGATAAACTGGATCACTACTGCTCTGAACTGCTATGTCTCAGAAGAGTTGATTCATTAGTTGCACTATTATATATACAAAAAAGAAAAAAAAATACAAGAAGGGGGGAATCTGTATATATAAACCTCTGTATAAACCTCCTACTGGACTTTGCCATGGGATCAAAGAATAGATATAAATTAACAACCCTACTTTTTCCAGGCTAACACATGCTTCATCCACCATCAATGAAGCCAATGCCGAAGAGTCCGAAAGTGCAGTTCTTCTAATGGCTTCCAAAGAGTATCAGTCCCAGTTAAAATGCCATCAGACTGCCATGTTAAAATGTCACTCATTAAAATAACAGGTATCCATCCTGGCAACTATACTGGTATTGAATTTGAGCATGTATGTGGTGTTGGTGCCTTTAATAGTATTTTTACTGGAATTCTAAGCTAAATAATGTGGCTACAGCAAGTTGGTGCTCCAGTTTTAATGTCTTTGTGTTGCACCTATACTGCTGATGGATGCAGCTTGTTAGCCAAGCTTGCTAACCTTAGCAGATGACTTTAGCATGGCACTCTCATGTCCAACACCTGGTTTCAAAAAATGCAATGGGGCACAGGATAAAACGGTAAGGTCTTCCAAAAGCAGAGCCCTGAAATCAGTGGCCAATTCCATCTTTTATGTACAGTCTATTCATCAATAACCAATAATATGCAGCAGTGAGGAAATAAATTTGTTCTTTAACAGTCTGTTAATATTAAATGCACTCTGCTACTTAATGTAAGTTAAAGCACTATTTAGAAGCAGCAGGCTGTGTGGCCAAAGCTAGGCTAAGCAGTTAAGCCTTACCTGTGTACTCATAAGGATTTACGGAAAACAATCCCTAACAGAGCTGAGCAGAACTCCTATGTGCTAAGGTTTAACGTGTAGAGTAGTACTGAAGGGAAAGTTACAAGAAGATGCTTTCAAGACCAGAAATATACAGTATTTCAAAATAACAGCATGAGCCTATGCATCTTCATTTATGCAGCAGTTATCATTAAGATAACAGCTTTTAACCACGGCAGCCTCCAACAATGTGAGGAGAATCTACAGTAAACACAGCTGAAAATAACATTCACATTCAAAATAACATTCACTTTACCTTCATTGTGATGGTCTATAGCTGTGATTTCTCTCTTCAGCTCTGTCCTGTCAGAGCATGCGGCATCTCAGTCAAGTCCTAAGCAGGACTGAGTCAATCAGTGTGTGTGTGCGGTTTAAAATACAGTACTACGGTGTGTAACTGCTAGCTAAATCCTGTCTGAAAATGCTACTGCAAGTGTGACTGAAGAAAATTCTAAATCATATGATACAAAATGTCAAATAAATTCAATATACAGCTTGAATTTTCACTTAATAGATAAAATAATAAATCACTCGGTGTCTACATAACTAGCAACAGACCATTGGCTTAAGGGAAAAGAAGAAGTTAAACTAAATTAATTAAATTAATTAAATTAATTAATTAATTAAATTGAATCCATTTAACACTGCCTTGCTACTTTGTTATTACCAAAGTTAAAAAGGACACATACCATAGACGTAAGACAGAAGAGTCAATTTTAATGTTAATTTTTAATAAAAATCACTTGGTCTCTATATCTGCTTATTTAAACAAAACTATTTATAGTTTCTTTCCACACTCTGAATTCATAAGAAGAAACGTGAGTCACACAGCAAACATGCAGTGAATAACAGTGTGGGCTAAGCCTGTAGTGGATAAGGTGGGTCAAACAGAAGCGAATACTCTGAATGTCTTCTACATGCAACACAGTGTCTAATGATTACATATGATTAGTATACTCAGTTTTAAATAACCTCCTGTATTCCTTAAATGAAAAGTTGCAGCAAAGAACAATTAGCACACACAAATCACTACAAATATTCATCATGAAACATGCTATTAATGGTAGTCATATCCCCTTTAAACAGTGATCTGACAGAGGTTTGCTCAGCAGCATTGCACACCCTCCCCTGGCTCTGTGTGGGTGACAGTAACTCTTGATCCATCCCATCTCACCACACACATCCATCCACAGTTTTCTGCAAGCAGCTTTTACACTGCGGACTTCATTAATGTGAGGAGATAGTGGAGAATGGTTACTTTATCCACACAGAGATGTGGAGTGTGGAAATGCCAGTAGACAAACCACAGTATAATCACTGCTTATAATTAGACAATACAATAAAATAAAAATGCACAAAAAACATTCTGATTCTAATCAAACTACACTAAAGCAAATTACAAATGTTAGTTATCAGTGTTGCTGCCAGATTAATGATCATGTTGGTGCTGCTGATGGGGGGAATGGTGGTGGTGATGAGAAGTAGAATCACCCTGATCCTGCTGATGTAGCGACTGATTCTGGTGACTGGAATGTTGACCGTGGTGGTGTTGATGAGAGGGGGGGTCATCATGATGATGGTCGTGGTGGTGGTGAGTCCCTCCAGAAGCTGTGTCTGCCACTTCTGAACCTTCGTCAACAAGCTGAGCTGTGCCATTCTGTCTGATGTTGTTACCACCGACAGATGAAGTAGAATTATGCTGGAAAAGAGGAATACACAGTCACACACACCATATTCATTATTCTTGAGTTAAAGCTGCATCACACTCACAATTGACACATTTATTTCGGCCACTTGGGGGCAGCACATTGAAGTAATGGCACAACACTGATGTAGTAAAATGTTATCAACTTGCTATTAGTTATCATTAACATTAGCTAATGTTTCTGATTAATAATCTCTACCTTGTTTTTAGTCAGCCTCATTTCTGTGAAATGCTCTGCTGTTCTTAAAACCCAATTAATACTTTTTTCTGGGTTTTTTTTTTCAATCAAACCAGTTTTATTCCCAACATTTATTCCTGTGGCTGATGAGAACCCAAACTGAGGGCCAACTCAAGACAACTCAACTAACTACAAGACAATGTACAAATAAATCCCAGTCAAGTTAATGTGAAGCTGGCCAACAATTCCTTGTCAGTCCCTCACTATGAAAAGGAAACATTACAGAACATAAAAATATTGAGTAGTTTATCCATCCATCCAT